GGAGGCGGAAAGGGATCTTGGTGTCATTATTGACTCCAAGATGAACATGGGCCGACAATGCGAGGTCATGGTTGGCAGGGCTAACCGGACCTTGTCGTGCATCCACAGGTGCATCTCGAGTAGAGCCAGGGAGGTGATCCTCCCCCTCTATGCGACGCTGGTCAGGCCGCAGCTGGAGTATTGTGTCCAGTTCTGTGCGCCCCATTTCAGGAGGGATGTGGACAACATGGAGAGGGTCCAGAGGAGGGCCACCCGCATGATCCGGGGACAATAGGGCAGACCCTACAGTGAGAGACTGCGGGACCTGAACCTATTCAGCCTCCACAAGAGAAGGCTGAGGGGGAACCTGGTGACCGTCTATAAACTCACTAGGGGGAACCAGAAGGGTTTGAGGGAGACGCTGTTTCCCCTAGCCCCCACTGGCATAACAAGGAGTAATGGGCACAAGTTGATGGAGAGGAGGTACAGATTGGACATCCGAAAAAACTACTTCACAGTTAGGGCGGCTAGGAGCTGGAACCAACTTCCAAGGGAGGTGGTGCTGGCCCCTACCCTGGGGATCTTTAAGAAGAGGCTGGATACCTACTTGGCTGGACTCATTTGAGTCCCGTTTTTTGTTTAGGGTTCTTTTGTTGTTCTCCCGCCCTGGCGGGGGGTCGGGCTAGAAGATCTATTAGGTCCCTTCCGACCCTAAAACTATGAAATATTACTCAAGCGAACAAGAGTTTAAAAATTCCATTCCAAATCTGTTAGTTCTTAGTAGCTACTCTGGCAAAGTTTTCATTTAATCCAGGAAAATTTTGCTCAAATCATACTAAGTGAGAATGCAAAGATTTAGCCTATGATCCTGTTGCTTCTGTATTATTTCTCTTTTTTTTTTTTTGTTAACAATATAGAAAAAATATTCTGCTGCAACCAACTCAGCTACTACTGCTCTGACCAAAAACAGCTTTTACTAAAGTAAGCTTAGAAAAGCTTCCATTACCTGCTCAAAAATAGTGCCCACATTGGAAAGCTACCAAAGACTAAGAGATTACTGACGTTTTAACTATTTGCCATATTTGTTTCCAAATCACTCAAAAGCTCATTTTTAAAACACTTGTTATTCAACCCAAGCTGCTGATATGAGAAAAGTCTTTGTAAGCCAAGGTAGAGATTTACAATAAAAATTAAGAGTACTAATTTTACAATTTGAAAGAAACATTGGCAGTAGAAGCATAAAGCAATCAAGAATGGTGCCAACACTGCCATGCACATAAACCTGTAGAATGAGGTAATCAAGAGTCAATTAAAACAACTAAAAGACTTCCAAAAAACTCTGAATAAATCCAACATCAATGTCTGCCAATCACTTCATTTAAATGAATAGCATACAAAATAGCTCTTATAGATCAAATGTAGCAAAAATCACTGCACCTTCTAAAACTTTAGGGTAGCTGCCCTCACAAAGTACTCCCCCCCACCACCCCCTACCCAATCTTCTTGCATCATCTGCTTCCTTCTATTCCCTAAACTTCCTAAATACATCCAAGGTTAAAATGGAGGCAGTTAAAAACTAAACTTCACTTTCCATACCCAATCCCAAAATTATAGGCAACTGCCAAATGTCCTGAAAACAAGACATATACCATTCAACTTGTCTTAAAATTTTGTCAGCAACAAGAAAAATCCTTGAGTGCAAATACAGTCAGTGGTATAATATAATCAGGGAACCCCTCTATCACTTCCTGAATTTGGCAGTACATCAATTGAGACCCATTACTGTGCTGCCTCAGCTTACCTCAGTAATTCTCAACTGGGGTGGTGCTGCTGCTACCACTGCTGCATCAACCAGGTGCAATTGCCTCATTTGCCTTAATCAGACCCAGATGGGCCGCAACATGGGCAAGAGCTCCTGCCTGCATTGAAGTTATCTGATAAGCCCAAAGCCAACAGGAGCACCCACTCCTATTGCAGCCCTTCTCAGTCTGCCCCTGCATCCTCTTCCCAGAAGCAGAGGCATGCAGGGCAGCTCTACCTACCCTGTGTACCTCGTGTTTCTGAAAGAAGCATGCAGAGCCAGACCAAGAAGAGCTGCTGCAGGAGTGAGTGCTTCCGCCACAGACCTTCCTGGTCTGACTCCACACAAGGCAGTTTCACCTGGTTGCAGCAGCAGGACCCACACTGTGGCATCCCTCAAACACTTTTAAGGCACACCAGTTAAGAACCACTGGCTTATTTAAACCTCTCAAGAGTTTTGCTGTTAAGAGTTTGCTGTTAATATTTAATCACAAGCTAAAATTCTTTTAAGTAAGCTAAAAACATTTTCTACTATCAGAAATGCTCCCCACCCAAAACTGTAACCTATTTTGACAGAAGAACAGTTTACTGATCTGATGCATATTTTCCATCTGTACTGTCACATTTTCAGGACAAGAGCCAGGCTTACATTTAATGTCTGTACAGTACCTATTGCTTTGTAGTGCTACCAGAAACCAAAGCTGCATTTTGATCAATGATCTGAGCATCACTTCACAGCTCTAACCAGCAAGGTTCTGACTCAACACCTTTCAAAATCAGAAGTCAGCAGATGTATTTCATAGTTACCTTCACAGGGTGTGGCTTAAAAGATGGGTCTAGAGAAGGAATTTATGAGTGTACCTAACAAACAGCAGGATTCTGTTTGCAAGAAGCAGAGGCAGGGCCACTGATTCAGCATGAGCTGGTACAAATATAACAAAACTGTAGATGCACAGTCACCAAATGCCACAAAATGAGTGACCAGCACACTCTAAACTGCTGGACTTGACCTCACCATGTATCGTAGCAGCCTAAACAAGAATACCTGAAGCCGCTAAGAAAGATGCTCTTTAAGCTTTACATAGTACAATAACCACATGTACCAAATGCTAGTTCCTAGCATCCAAAAATAATTGCTCTAAACTGACATCTTGATTCTGAAAATTCCATTGCTGGGCCAGAAAATGTGGGGTTCTTTAACTCATCTCAATCAATACACTGTCCTGATAGGAAAAAGTGTGCTGTGATTTTAATCAGCATTCCCCAAAAACTTTAGGGAATTACCAAAGGAGTATGGTTGCATCCTGGAAAGGATGATCATCATTCCCCATCACAAACTAAAAACATCAGCAGAGTAAGAATAGGTTCAATCTTCCATATATCCTACCTGGCCAAATCCTTTTGATAATTTCACCATGTGCAACCCCATGCAATTAACTGGGGTTAGAAATGGTACACCTCAACACAGTGTAGG